AATACTAATGAGGTCCACTACATTTTTATTTTGCATATATGTAGTCACATTTTGTTTAGTTAAATTCATGTTTTAGACCTCATTTGTTTGCACTTAATTAATTGGGTATGAAGGAAATCCCTAAAATTGGGTAACTGAAAATTTTAGTTCTAAAAAAAGGAAGTGAAATCAAATTAATTACCTATTATTAATTAATAATAAAAACCTTTAAATAGATTAGTAATTTATTAAATAAATATAATTTGATTTTTAAATTAAATTAAATTAAATTGATATGTCATAACCCGTAAATAATCTGTTATAAGCAAAAACAATTTAAAAGTAGATTTAAAACCCGTAATATTTACTCTTAAATGTGTATATGGGGTGATTTTTCCAAAAAATTATTATGCTAGAGGCCCAACCAACCAAAGTTGGAAGAGGCTCCACCCATTTTTTGACATGTGGATCGTGGGGCCCAAACTATTAGTTAAGGCTGAAAAATGAAATCAAAAGGAGAAAGAATGTAAAGTTTGAGTGGAAATTGCAAGATAATTGTGGGGTCAATTTAATACTATGCTGACAATTTTTTTTGATTGCCCATATCTTTTCTAACAACTATATATATATCTCAATAAATATACTATTCTGGACAAGAATACTTACAACACTCTAAAACGCAATCACTAATTTTTCTAACTTGTTACCTGTTGCTGTTACTGTTTTTTTGACACATACTGTTATATTTTCATTTTTATAATTTTATCTGTGTTGAAACTTGAATCTTATAAAATATATAATACATTTATCTTCACAGTGTATGGGTAAAGTCGCATAAAGGGGCAAGGCTAGCAAGGTAGGCCTTGAAAATATATTTTCATCTCACTCATATAGTCATGTTATTTGTCTACTTTCTTTTTATACACACCTTTACTAAAAAAATTATAAATAAGTAGAAAAAAAGTTACTAATTGCCTTGTAACTCTTCTTAATTCACTCTATTTTAATTATCTAAAATAAATAATAATTTCGGAAAAATATTTTTAATAATATGAGACGGAGGGACCACAAGTTTGTATAGAACCTTTTCTCAATTAATAAATGCTAACATAATGTACATTCTCACTAGTCACTACGCTAAATAATTTAACTAATGAAATAATTTATATTTTGTGTAAATGAAACGCAACATGATAAAATTAAACCAACAATCATTTAATGAGATTTTCGAGTTTTCAAAACAAACGATATCATTTCTTTTTTTCTGCTCTTTTTTCATATTGTCCTCCATTTCTTCACGCCATTGCTTTAGTAGCATTAAAGGGTTTATTTAATAGGTGATTATAATTATGCATGTCTTCAATTTTGGTATTTGACGTTAATAGTAAATTAGTTTGAGGACAATAAAAAATACACAAATCTTATCTTATCTTGTAATATAGAACTATTTTTAAAAGTAACGCGAGTTTAAAGAAAATAGAGTGTAAACAAATTTCAAAATAAGAATAATATTTTTAATAGATATTCAATTCAACACGTTAAATAAATGTGGATATAAAATAGAAAATAAAAATATTGATCAACTAATAATATGACTTTTTATTTCCTTGCACGTTTCCACTTTCAATATAATATTTTAATTTATTTAATTGAAGTTGACATGGACCCCACAATTATCTTGCAATTCTCACTCAAACTTTATATTCTCTCTCCTTTTGGTTTCATTTTTCAGCCTTAACTAATAGTTTGGGCCCCACGATCCACATGTTAAAAAATGGATGGAGCCTCTTCCAACTTTAGTTGGTTGGGCCTCTACCATAATAAAATTTTTCGACTAAGTAGTGGTGTGCAGAGTCCAAGTATATATTCTTAGACGATATATATTAATTATACATAGATTGAAAAAATATATCTAATAAAAAAATAAGGCGATGTAATATTTTTCTATGACCTCTGTTTATATTTAATTTTTTCTTCTACTTTTTATTTATTTGTTTGTTTTATTTTTTAATATTTAAAATAATCTATATATTCAGTTACTCAACTTTTGCATCTATCATTATAATATATATTTTTTGTTAGATATAATAATGTGTTTTTAGAGATTCTTTTACCTTCAACCTTCATAATTTTTAATTGTGCAACAATTATATACATACAAACAAGATAATGTTCACCTCTCTATGACTTTCATTTGTATTTGTCTTTTTGAGGTTTTTTCTCTCCATTTCACTATATAAAAAAATAGGGGAACTTACATAAAATTCTCTAGTTTAGAAGCTAATTATTTAGATACATTCTAGTTTGTAATATTATGTATCCTATCGAATTTTGGTGCCGCCAAATACGTTCATGTATAAGTATCTCGAATACATGAGGTCAAATTTAGGTATAACTTGTTTTAGATACATTGTATTCAAGTGGCTTCGCGTGTATCTTAGATAAATAATAAACCTCGTTTGCCACTCTCCCATGTATATGGTACCCCAGATACATGTGAATCACTCCAGATACATACAATCTAGTGTGATTCGCATATATCTGAGATACACGAATCTCACTCGTCTCCCTCTATTTTTGTATATTTGATAGCAAAAATACATGTATTGAGTTAAAAATACGTAGGGAATTCTTAATTAGTAGTAAGATACATAATATTTAAAAAATTATAGGTAATAATAGTATATATGGTATTGAAGTATGTCTAATAATGAAGTTTTTCCATAAAAACAACACAACAATCTATTTAAAGTACTATTTATTTTCTTAATTATTTTATTTTAAAAATCATATTACATATAACTCGCACCATTTCATTTCATAATTTATATTCTAATTATTATATAGTATTTGAAAGCCTAAAATTAAAGTCAATATTAAATTTCTTAATCGTTATTGTTCTTTTCCCCTTCCCTTAATTAATTATTATTAACGTGTATTAGGGTCCATTTGGCCATGCGATTTGAAATCATAATATGAAATCATGAGATGAAGTTGAAATTTTGCTTGGACATGTAATTTGAACTTTTTATGTTGTATATTTTCTCATAAACATAAAAAAACTTTATAAGTTGTAAAACTATTAAAATTGTTTCAAGTCTTTATACAATCTTACCAAATAAGCAAAAACTTATAAAATCGCACAATACACTATCACAAAGCTATTCTACAAAATTACAACATTCATTGATCAAACTTTAATTCAATAAAAAAAAAATTCAAAATTGAACATTGGTTGATAAATAAATTTAATAAAAAATAATGAATTTTGTGAATAGAAATAGTAATGTAGGAATTGATTTGAATTAATACCAAATTTTATGTTGGTGAGAATAATTGTTATATGAGATATAAATGGTTTAAAAAGTAATGATATGAATTTAATAAATTTTATTACATATGAAATAAATGGTTAGTAGATATAAATGAGAGGTTTTTTTTTTACAAAATATAAATTTGTGGGTGAACTTTTGTACTTAAAAATATCTCAAATCATAATTTTAAAAAAAAATTGAGAGATGAAATCATGAGATAAAATCACTGTGAAATCACATATTCAAACGCTGATTTCATCTCATGATTTATGATTTGATATCATGACATGGAATCACATTACTATATCAAAGGTAGGAGACAAAAAACTAAACCTTATCTACCCAACATATTTTTCTTGACACTTAATGGGGGAGCTAATGTGCTATAGGATTTCAAAGTTTGATCCAAGTCTACTAATGAGGTCCACTACATTTTTATTTTGCATATGTGTAGTCACATTTTGTTTAGTTAAATTCATGTTTTAGACCTCATTTGTTTGCACTTAATAGAAGTCTGAATCTAAATGATCTAGACATTAGATCATTAAGTGCATTTGTTTTTTTCTACTTAAAAATAAGAAATAGTCTTATTCTTATTCAAACTCTTTTAAAGACACTTTTCCCGAAAAATATTGTACCCCATTTTTTTACTTTAAAAAAAAATATTCAAGTCTCTCTCCTTCTCCAACTTTATTAGTTATCCAAATTATTTTCCTTAAACTTTTAATTTTTATTTTTGCTGCTTGTTTATCAAAATTGATAAAATTTATTGTAATATTGTAAAACTAAACCAAAATAAGACAAGAAATATAGAAGATGAGAATAATAAAAATAGGGAGACAAGAGATGAGAGTTTTCCTTATTCTTCCAAGTATTCAAATGTTAAATAATATGAAATCTTATGCCTCTATTTATAGTGTTAAATAGAGGCATACAAAACGTTAGTTTAATGCAAGAATTACTAATATACCCTATTTTGTATTATTCTTATACACTCTACTAAACGACCCCTAAATGTACAACTAGGGGCGTAAAAAATGAACCCAAACATAGGTAATCCGCCCAACCCGCCCATAATTTTAAGGGTTGGGCTCAAGATAATTTAAATTGGGTTCAATCTCAACCCATTCAAGCCTAACCCATTTTTAAGAGAATCCTCAATTGTGCTCAATTCAATCTCCAATTTTCAACCCGTTTTTAAAAACTCTTTACTAAGATATGTTCCTATATTAAAGGTATGAATTATTATCTATTTAACATCTTTTAGGATTTATCTATCCATTTGTTACTTTTAAAAAAAATAATAATCTTGAGTTGAAATTCGAATTGTGACTGTAAAAGTTAAATATCACTATGTTAAAATTATTGAAATCAATCGGGTCAAATTGGGCGGGTCAAGACCTAACTCATTTGTTAGCTCATTTGAGCCCAAACTAAACTTGGGCGGGTCAAAATTCAACCCGATTTCTATTTCAACCCATTTTAATAGCTCCAATTTCAATTCAACCCGCCTATTTGACACTCGTATGTACAACCAACAAAACATAGTACTATGTTTCAACCTTAAAACTATCAAGAAGGCTAGTTGTTAATCATCTTCGCGTCATTCTACAGTCTGCATCTTTACATAGTTAGTAAACTACCTATAAACACCAACCCTATCGACAGGAGCGGGTTAGCTGATTCTCATTAACGTGTAAATTAAAACTAATTATGAAACTGCAGAACAACACAGAATATTGGACAAACAAATATGCTTGGCCACTCATCTCAAGCTGGTTCAGCTTTATATACTCCCAAACCTGCCTCAGAACCTCTGCTTGTGACATCTCACTTTCTGAAATACCCAAAAAGTTTGCAAGTGCTTCTGATATTCTCACAACTGGAACAGATTCCTCCTCAATTTTTGCTCTTTTAGGATTCTGTGTAGTCTGCTCTGTACATGTAGTAAAACGATTCAGTGTTTTACTTTAAGTGTTATATCGCCCAAACAAAAAACAGAGAGAAAACAATTGATGATGGAATCATACTTCAAGGATTGAGAGTGATTACATGTTTAGCTAGCAGTCTATTCATCTTGAACATATTGGTAAAATCTGTCTCAAGTATTACATCATTGCAGATAACCTTCATTTTGTTATTCGGATCTTGAAGATTATGTATGCCCACATCTGCTTGACTATCTGAGTTAGAAGGGAAAAATTTAGGCAGAAAACCATCTTGTAGAAACAAAATCAACAACGAAAAGGAAAGGTTGCAATATAATCCTCCAAACAATGGTTTGGAGTTCAGGAGTGACACCACAGAGTTTGTTTAATCCACCTCTTCTTCTTTTTTTTTTTCTTCCACTTTGACCACTAAAAGTAGAAGACAAAGTCCCTCATTAAACCTACCAGCCTCAGAATAAAGCATTAGTTCATGTAACACAGTGCAATAACAGACAAATAATACACATATAGTTGCACAAGAATTTGATGTTACGAGATATCTGTCTGGAGGGCAAAGAAGCTTTCAATGTAAGCATTTTTCATGAAAGTTGTTAGTCAAAAATACAGAAACAGAAAAAAGATGAAATAGATAGAATGATTTTTTTTTTTAATCCGAGTCCACAAAAATTACTGTGTTTTCTTAAGAAATTTAATCCCCTCACTGTACCCGAGGTTGCAGATTAATTCCTCCCAAGATAAAACGGATTAACCTGTTAAAGAAGTAGCGGTACCTCAAACTTCAATAACTTCAGCGAACGCAAGAACAGCAACAAGAGCACACACAGACTCAGTCGATC